ATTCTTATGGTCATCTGATAGAAAGGTTTATTAAAACCACTCATTTTTCGCCTCACCTGCTCAAATTGAGTTGATTTGCTGGGACTCTCTGTACGTTTGAGCAGATTTAAACCGAATTTTTGAGCCTTTCCATTTTCCACCAGTTATTCAGAAAATTTTGGAAAACAGAAATTTTCCAGAATTCCAGATTTCCAGTTTTCCGGCGGAGAATATTCCACGAAAAAATTCCAGTTTCCTAAAATTCCGGAAATATTTCAATCCAATTTCAGAGTCTACTGCGACGCCGGGGAAGACGACGGAAATACAGCTTCGAATTACAGCTTCAACAACAAGAGGATGATGAGACACAGGATGCAGATGATGCAAACGAACAGCATGAGCTGATGGATTTTAGTGAGCCAACTGTCACTGCATTGGCAATGCCCGAACCCGAATGGACCTATCAGGTCAGATTTGAATTCAATCGAGCGATTTTGAGATTTAAGACGGCTTTGCTTTGCTATATCCCCTCCGAGATATCCGGATAACCCGAATGGATCTACCAGGGCCATTCGGGTTATCCGGATATCTCGGATCTCAAAAATTTCATTTCAGGATACCACGGATCTGGTCTATTTGGGGCAACGAAAACGCGTGGAACTCGTCAAATGGTGCAATTTGCTGTCATCGCGGGGTCGTGCGGAACGTATCGATATTATCGCCAGGTAGGTAACTGACTGCACTGATCTCAGTAAATTCAGTAGCTTTAGATAATTAAGACAATAATTAAGATAATTAGCATTTTTGGAGGTGATAATTAAGCTCCACTACACGATCGTACTTTTAAAATTTTTTCACTAATTGTAAATTTTTCTCACAACACAGAACACGGGAGAAACTTTTAATTACTCAATTATATATACCAATTGCAACTGCTATTTTAGGCTTATTTTACCGATCGCCTTTGGAATGTTCAACGTGGCCTATTGGATGATTTATTTGGGCGATACCAAATCTTAGTATCCGGCATCTAGACAAGCCCAACGAACCCTGCCTGAGCCGAAAGCAGGCAGGCACTTAAATGATCACTCAAAATGAGGCTAAAACCACTTCAGAGTGATCAGGCTGAACGCCCTAACTAGTCACCAAAAAAAAAAGGTCTCCAAAATGGCCTTTTAAGTGCTGCTACCCAAAGGACCATCATCTATTTTTATCCATTCGAATGTTCCTTCTGTGGGATGGAACAATTGCTTTCGGGGGTATTCTTCCACAATTTGGGCTTAATTTCTTTTGCTGTGGTTTCAATGCGATGTTCTGATGTCATCAATGGATTCGTTCTGATATTCTGTTATTCCGAAACTTTTAATTAAACGATGAATCTGCATATGTATTGTCCATTTAAGTGGAAATTTATAATTGTTTTGTTCTTTGTGGCAATTGATTAACTTAATTAATTTGTTAATTAAATAATAAAGTTTCTATATCAAGCGGCTGTTAGCTACTGGTTGGAGTTAAATCATACGGTAATTGCTCTCGAGCAGTCGCAGTTGGTTAAAATTATCCGTTAAAACTAAATCTGATTGCTTGAAGTGAACTTATTGTCAAAAGTGTTCGGTTGAAGTGGATCACAGATCAATCAAATCAAATCAATCAATCAATTAATCAATCAATAAGACCACATCAAAGATCTATCTGATCAGGCAGGGATTAGCGCGGCGATCATATTAGAGATCAATACGAGATCAAAATGCGCTATATTGTAAATTGCGTTTGCAATGGAGTAAATTGCCTTCGGAATAATTGTTAAGGGATTCAAGGCTACTCATTATTTGACTGATTCTTAAAAACTAATAAAATCTATATAATCCA